ACTCATTCATTTGTTCATTCATTTGTTCATTCACTCATTCATTCATTAATCATTCATTCACTCATTCATTCACTCGCTTGTTTACTGAGGGACTCTCTGTCTGTTCCAAAACTGAACTCTCCCCACCCCCGATTAAGGTATACCTGTCATAGAAAATCTTTCCTAATATAAATTCTCACCCAGCAGTCCTAGAGGGGATTCTCGGAGTTCTAAACGGACCTGCTAGACCAACTCTTTAACCAAGGACACTAACAGCAGCACCTTTCCTTGATCCTTGACTCCTTCCTGGTCAGGTGGAAATGAGAAAGGGCTTATCTATCTTGGCTATGCTCATCTGTGCCGCTCTATGACACTCACCTGTTGCAAAGCCAAATAGGAAGATCACATAAACCATCAGGAAGTGCAGAAGGTCCCTCAAGATGGCCTAGAACAAGAAAGAGAAGCCATGTGAAGATGAGGGAGTTCCGGTTTGCAGCGCTTCGGCGGCAGGCAGGAATCCGCGATCGTGCATGGTTTCTGCCTGGGCTTGCCGCTGGAGCGGCCCGAGCCAGCTGGCTTCGGGGCTAAGCCAAATACATGGATCTCAAAGGGTGCCTATGTCAACCCTGGAGCTGACCTGACCGAAGACATTTTGTTGCTTCAATGTTGCCACACTAAAGCTGAAGGATAGGGAGGGGGGAAATATAGAGATAGCTGCAGGGGTGGGATTCAAAAATGCCAGCAACCAGTTTGCTGCCCAGTTGCTGGATGGGTGTGGCCATGGTAGGCGTAGCCTACTGAAACTTCCAGGAGGGCTGTTTTTCACCTTTCCCAGGGTCCGGAGGCTTTCCTCAAGCCTCTGGGAGGGTGAAAACAGCCTCCCCCAGGGTCCGGAGACCCTCCAGAAGCCAGAAACAGGCCCGTTTCCAGACTTCTGGAAGGCCGTGTCCGCATACTCTGCAGTTACCTGCATCCAAAATGGGCTGTGTGGATACTCATGGGAGGGGAGGGGCCAGCCGGTCAATTCAACTACCAGTTCAGTGAACCGGGTGTAAATTTAACATCTGGTTCGCTCGAACCAGTCCAAACCGGCCGAATCCACCCTTGGATAGCTGAGGTTTCATAACCAAAACAGAAGACTTTCTCCTGGGAACCAAGGACGTTCCCACAGGTGGCCGGAAAGAGGAGGAGCGAAGTCACCAGGCAACCGGACGGCACCCTGATTGGACCATGTGACACTGATTGTTTGGAGAAGGGAGAAAACTTTTACTTTTAATTAGGTAAAAACCACGGGAGTTTTCAAAGTCGGTTTTCACCAGAACTGTGCCAATATGATATATCCAATAAAACTATTCTTTGAGGAATCCACCTGCCTCGGAGTTTTGCTTGCTACGGGTGCATTAATTGGAACCCCGACAGCCCAGTTTGAAAATCGCTTTTGTAGGTTATTCAAGTCCATTGCTCAGATTGTTAACACCAGCTGTACCGCTAACTGAGCAGGAACTAAATAAATGCAAGTTGTCTTCAATAAAGGTGAATATATGTAATTCAGGGTTGAAATGAGGGGGTCCTTGGTGTTCTCTGAGCTTGCTTATTCTTTTGCGGACGTTTCATGACCCAACTAGGTAACATCATCAGTGCTAGTAAGCAGTGGGATTTGCTGTCAAGTTTATATTCTTGTCTGTGTGAGTGGGGGTGATTACTGGTGGAGAGGTGCTGGAGTCTTTTTGTTCTCTTTTGGGCTAGTTATTTGTCTCTTTTGCATAAAGTCCGTCTGTCTATTGATGGCTGATTTCTCAGAGTGCTAGGCTTCTAGAAATTTCCTGTCATTTTTGGACATGGCCTGGTCTAGAATTGGACACCTCTGATCTAGATGCTGAATGCAATCTATCTTCCTTCCTTCCTTCCTTCCTTTCTTCCTTCCTTCCGTCTCCTTATTTTCCTTCCTTCCTTCCTTCCTTCCTTCCTTCCTTCCTTCCTTCCTTCCTTCCTTCCTTCCTTCCACATCTTCCTTCCTTCCTTCCTTCCTTCCTTCCTTCCTTCCTTCCTTCCTTCCTTCCTTCCTTCCTTCCTTCCTTCCTTCCTTCTCCAGCACCTCTCCACAAGTAAGCAGCACTCGGATCAGCATGGTGTCAGGATTCCAGCAGTTACTCCAATTAAATCATGAAGAATTAGATCTTCATGCAGAAGCTTCAGTCATCTAATCAGTCTTTGAAGAAAATATGAGTGGAATGTACTTTCGATTCCACACTGCTGCCTGCTCTGTGAAACTTCCCCACTCCTTTCTGTTGTCAACTATAAAACGTGTATACAATATGTTTTATGAGTTGGCACATGGATTAACTCCAAGGTTAACTTCAAACCAACCATACCCCAATTGAGAAACAGCCAAAGAGCCATCAGTAAGCAGCCCAAACATACTCCCACCCATACAGACAGGCAAAACACCATAGTATAAATGACACTCCATACTAGCACTGATGAAATTACCTAGTTGGGTCATGAAACGTCTGCAAGAAAACAAAGAAGCTCAGAGAGCATCAAGGACCAGAACTGGGCTCCAAAAAATTTAGCAACCATTTCTCTGCCCGGTTGCTGGGTGGGCATTGCCATGGGCATAGTCGGCCTCCTGGACCATGGTGGGGGGTGCGTTTCACCCTCCCCGGGCTCCCAAGGCTTTCCTCAAGCCTCCAGGAAGGTGAAAACAGCCTCCCCCGGGCTCCGGAGGCCCTCTGGAGGCCAGAAACAGGCCCATTTCTGGCCTTCCAGACCCGACGGGAGTCCCATTGTTTGCCCTTTCCGAGCCTGCATGCAGCCCTGCACTTACCTGGCATCCAAAACAGGCCACACGGAGACACCTGGGAGGGGTGCAATTTACCGGTTCATCAAACCGGCCATAAAATTAGAAACCGGTTCGCCCAAACCGGGGTGAACCGGTGCCAGCCCAGCCCTGCCAAGGACCCCTCGTATGTTGTCCTCATTTAACAACTGCCTCGTACAGCAATTTTTCACCCTTCGGATAGAAAAGTAACTTTTCCACCAGTCGTTGCATTTAGGACCTTTGCAGGAAAGTGGAAGTTAAATCCTGAACCATTGTGATGCTTCACGTCCTGACCGCTTCGCTTAATGACCAAGCTGCCAGTTTCAATTGTGGTTGTTAAAAAAAACGAGGGCGACCTGTAATTGACCGACTTCATTGAGACTCTGAACTGCCCTGAGAAATCAGGAGCCATCCAATATCTGGAAACGGAAATGATTGGGGTTTCGTGACCTACCTTCTGGATCATCACAATGTAGATTCCTGTCTGCTGGAGACCGCGGGTATAGTAGAGCATGTTCACCCAGCCTAAAAGCAAGGCGAACACCATGGGCAGCACGTATTTTTCCGTGTTTGCAAAGAACATCACGGACGAGGCCAGGATGGCGAGTGCCTGCACAAACCTGGAAGGGCCGGACAGAGAAACAGAAAAAGAAGAGAAGAGCAATGAAGATGATTGAAGACACAGAGACAAAAACATATGAAGAATGGTTGCAGGAATTGGGTTTGGCTAGTCTGGAGGAAAGGAGGACTGGTGGGGACATGATAGCAGCCTTCCAGTAATTGAGGGGCTGCCAGAAAGAAAGCGGCAGGTGGGGGGCAACTTATTTTCCAAAGCCACACCTGGAATACTGCATTCAGTTTGGCCCACCGCAATACAAAAAGGATGTTGAGACTTTGGAAAAAGTGCAGAGAAGAGCAACTGTGGTTAAAGGCCTGGAGACTAAAACATGCAAAGAACGATTGCAGGGTTTGGGTTTGGCTAGTCTGGAGGAAAGAAGGACTGGTGAGGACACGATAGCAGTATCTGAGGGGCTGCCACAAAGAAGAAAGATTCAATTTATCTTCCAAAGCACCAGAAGGCAAGACAGGAAACGATAGATGGAAACTCATCAAGGAGAGAAGCAACCTGGAATTAAGGAGAAACTTCCTAACGGTGAGGACAATGACCCAGTGGAACGACTTGCCACCAGAAATCGTGAACGCTCCAACACTGGAGGTTTTCAAGAAGAGACTGGACTGCCATTTGTCTGACATGCTATAGAGCAGGTGTGCCACAGACTCAAAGCTCGCAGGCTGGATGCGGCCTGCGGCCTGGTTAAAACTGGCCTGCGGGGCCGAGCCAGAAATATCAAAGGACCGGCCCATGATGCTTCTGCTGGCCAAAAACAGGCCTCCAAGAGCCTTCCAGGGCCTCCATGCGGCCCATTTCTGGCTGTCAGAATGTTGCTGGAGGCTGGGGAGGCCAAACAGGGGCTGCACGGAGACCCCCGCACAGCCTGTTTTGGGCCTCTCTGGCCTCCAGTAGTGCTCTGCCAGCCAAAAACTTATAGTAAAGAACTGTGGAAAGAAAGAAGGGGAAAATCACGTCTTGAACCTGTGTCAAACGCCCACTGTGACCACGCCCACCCAAGCCACACCCACCGTTCCATGCCCACCCCTGGCCATACCCACACACCCGCCCTCCAAGGTCAGACATAACCCTGATACGGCCCTCAATGAAATTGAGTTTGACACTCCTAGTTGTTGTGGTCCGCCGGTGGCCTGTGGAGTTGGCGGCAGAGTCGGACACTGGGGAGGAACATGAGCCAGGCCGGGAATCTGGAGAGGACTCAGACGAGGGTCCTGAGTCTGATATAAAGATGGGGCCAGGGCCATCTGAGAGTTATGTGCTGACTCAGGAGCCTCCGGAGTCTGGCAACAGCAAGGCAGAGGAACAACGGGAGCCTGTTCCCAGTGCGCGCGTGCACAGAGCTGCCAGAAGGCAAGAACAGTTAAGACAAAAGGGGCGACTTGGGAGTAAGGCTTGCAGATGATTGGCCCCTCCCATAAGACATAAAGGAGGAGCAAAGGGACAGGAGCTTTTGCAGGAAGCAACTTTGTTCACTCTGTTCAGATTTAACCTTGAAGCTCTGTTTGTACTTTGTACTCCATTTGGCTTTTTATAGTTAATTTGGCACTTTAGTTGTTGTCAGCAATTCAAAGGAGATAAAGGTGGGTGCTTATCTCGAGGGACTGTTTGTGACTCATTACAGGCTGGGAATGAACATAATTCCCAGCCATTGAAATAAAAAGAGGGTTGTTTGGACAAAGCGTGTGATTAATTACAGTCTCAGGAAGCCTTGGTCGGAACACTGGTATAGCGTCTCCTGCTAGAGTGGGGGTTAGATTAAAAGACCACCAAAGTCCCTTCCAATTCTAGTCTGCATTTGGGGAGTGTGAATGACCTTGACAGAATAGAGGAACAGGTAAGACATAAGACATAGACATAAGACATAAGACATAAGAATTTATTTGTCATTACACTCGCAAGCAGGTGCAACGAAATGAGGTGCTCTTCCACAAGTAAAACTGGACAACACCATTGAAAGAAAAATAAAATTAAACACAACAGACCATACAATAATCTCTATACAATTTAAAAATGTAAATACCCCATTACTCTCAGCCATTAAATTCCACAAAATCTTATGACCCTGCATTCAAACTCAAAACTGCACTTGGATAAAAACTGTTCTTAAATCTAGTCGTCCTTGTTCTTAATACCCTGAATCTCCTTCTCGGTGGTAATAGTTCAAAGAGCTGATGTCCCGGATGAGAGGAGTCATTCAATATATTAAATATCTTCCTCTTACATCTATTCCTATACAGTTCTTCCAAAGAGGGGAGTGAGCAGCCAATGATGTTTTGGGCCATCTTAATCACCCTCTGAATTGCCTTTTTCTCTGCCACTGTGCAGCTCGAGAACCATACACAGAGACAGTAGGATAATCTACTCTCAATTGAACTCCGATAGAAGGTAGTCAGTAGACTCTCAGCCAGTTGTTGTTTCCTAAGAATCCTTAGTAAAGACAACTGTTAGGTACAACAGGTACAATTTAGGGAATGAAGAGGTAAGAATGGACATAGCCCACCACTGCATAAGAGGCAGAGAAAAAAGTATGGAAAGGACGCTTCCCAGTTTTTCATAGAAACAGGGGGAGATTTGTACTTTCAGACCTGCAAGATTCTGTTAACGCAGCGTTACAGTGAAGTAGAACTAGCTCATCCGATCGTGTTTCCTGGCTGGTTTACATGAAAGGCATGAAAGCAGTGGTGGGCTGCTGCCGGTTCAGATCCGAATGAAGGTCTGTTGGCCACGCCCACCTGCCCTCCGGTGGTGGGATCCTACCTCAGACACTACCAGTTTGGTGGGTGATAGCGCATGCGCGCCTGTTATGACCCCCCTTCGAAATTCAAACGAACAAAACAGAAAGCAGCCGTTTCACAATTAAATCAAACGGAAAGAAGTCTTACAAGATAACGGCTGGCAGAAACCACAGCATAAATCTTTACTCTGTCTGGCAAACCAGTCCTGGCAATAAATCTTCAGCCTCAGAGCTTCTTGCTGTAACGTCTTCACTCAAATAGTTATTTTGTTCCTGGTGAAATGTACCAGCCCAGCTGTGTCCTTTTATACTCATTAAGGCAACGTGCTAATTTACTGACTTGCCCTTCTCATTCGCTCCAGCTGATTTTGCCTTTTCAACCGTCTTCTATTTTTTACATTTAACCACAAATTTTCCAAGTTCTCATCTCCACTAGAAGACTCTCTCAAAACTTCCCTGTCAGCCATTCTCAGCTGTTGATCAGATAAGGAACCAGAGGAGGTCAAAGGTCCTGACAATTCTAATACATCAGGTCTGTCGTCCTTTGTCACGTCCATCTCCTCATCCTGGTTATCAGTCCAATCACTAAGCCAGGCCGGTTCATATTGTTCTGCCATAACCTCTTCACTTGAACTCATATCAATCACAGGAGCTGAATCCAAGCCCGGAGCCACAACACGCGCCTATGAGCCCCAACGCACATGCTCCTAACAAGCCAATCAGCCGAGAGGATGAAGAAACGAAAAGCTAGAAGCGACCCTCCCACCCTCCCATGTGCTTTTTGGTCTTTTAGGCGCTTTTTTTCCCCTCCTCTTAGCTGATTGCAGGCTTTTTTTTTTTTTTAAACTACCGGTTTGCCCAAACCAGGTCAAACCGCCAGCATACCACCACTGCCGCTTTCGCCCTATCTCGTCTGACCTTTTCTTTTCTGGCAGCTCAGGTGATTCAAGTGGCAAAGTGGATTACCGCATGAATCGGCTGTTCTACTTCCTGGGGAAGGCTAGTAGGTGAGCTGGAGAGGTTCAAATGGGTGTTTATTGAATGCCGCGTGCAAAGCATGCGCTCACAGAACGGGTTGTTAAACCGGTTGCAGCCCACCACCGCATGAAAGCCCACTGGGTGACTTTGGGGCAATCACTACGAGAGGGAAAGTTCTCATTCCACCTTAGAGATGAAAGCTGGCTGGGTGACTCTGGACTAATCCCTCTCCGTCCTCCCAACCCACTTCCTTGTGTTGTTGCTCTAAGTAAAAATAAGGAAGGACGTGAAGTATTATATATGTTCACCGCCTTGAATTATGCATAAAAATAATAAGGGCGGGATAAAAAGAAATGAAAAATAAATATAAGGTGAATGTAACAGGAGTTGTCGTGCCCCCCATCAGAGTCAGCTAACAGGGAGCAGGAGAGTGGCTCCATTGGCTGTGGAGGAAACTTGGGAAGGGCAAAGTCAGGCTGGGCAGAGTAGGGAAGAGGTAGAACAAAGGGGAATGGATTTAGAGGAAGACCCAGGCTCACCTCCCCCCCCCTTCATCCTAGGACACACAAGGAAGAACAGAGAAGAGAGCAATGTGGGTTGCATGACTTACGAGGTAGGAGTGGGCCCTGATCCCCTTCACAAGGCACATCTGGGGATGGAGTTTAAAGGAGAGGCAGATGGGAGGGGCAGTTGTCAGGAACGAACTTTGAGTTTATCTAAATGTTGGCTGCTGTTATCTGCGTTCCTGGAATCCTCCCAACTGGTTTGATTTACTGCCGTGTTACTTCACTTCTGGAACGCCTTATCGTGCCCTGCAGGATTTATTGCCTTATCTTGCTTTGTTGGATTTATAGTTTAAAGTTTTCTGTTTACAACATTTTGGACTAGAATATCTGCAGCCAAAGGCTGTTGCAGGTTCCTGGGAGAGTTTTTCTTCAAACCGGAAGGTAACCGGAACATTGGGAGCCAAAGATGGAGCTAATAAAGGGACCCCTACTTATTATCTGACTTGGGTGGTCTTTGTGCCACACCCTGGATCATTACAGGAGCATCTCTCAAAAGCAAAGCAACTGACCATTAGACATGGTAAACAGTTAGGATTTGGAATTAATTAGAGGACATAAATAAATAAATAAACAAACAAACAAACAAATAAATAAATAATTATTAGTGCACATTATATCTAATCCTTCCAGAAAAACAGCAACATATACACACGTACAGGAATATTTCGAAGCAACTATCCACTAGAAGACTTTTCCAAGAGAAGCGTCTTCTCCAGAAGTAAAAACTCTAAAAGGGAATAAATAAGGAGAGAAAAATTCAGAATGCCGCATTATGACAGGGATGTGGGAAAGAGCTTGTAAGACCCGATTCACACTGGCCGGTTGTTAGTTTGGGGGCGGTTGTGCAAAGGCTCTTGAGAGCGGAGCGGAGCTGCTTTGGCCGTGCTGCACGGTTCCTGCCACAGTGTGGCGGCAGCAATGTATTCAGAAGAGTGGTTCTGTTCTGACCCAGCTCTCCAAACACAACAAACCTTGTGATGTGAACTCAAAAATTCCTTTTATTAGGAGTGCCGGCAGCCCCGGCAAAAAACCCCCTCTCACCTCAAGTCTGTCCAGCAGGGTGATGAATAGTTGTCTGCCACATCTATTCATCTCTGCCCCCTGCCTTTTATCCCCAGAACTAGGGTGGGGCTTCACTAGCAGTGGTGGCTCTTCCGTCCCAAGGTCCGGCTCATAGATTTCCACTGCTCTCCTCTCCTCTGCCTTCTGGGCATCTGCATGTCAGGCACTGGACCTAGCTGTTCCTCCTCTTCCTCATCAGCCACCTCCAGACCTGGACTCTCCATCTGAGGGCTGACAGATGGCCCAGGCTCTGCCTCTGTCTCTGTCTCTGACAGCTCGATTCCCTCTTCCTCTTCGGAACTCCCAGGTTGCCTTGTTGCCGACTCTGACTCCCACGCCTGCTCTTCCTCCTCTGATTTAGCTGCTGGAGGGGGCCGGCGGCCGACAGGCCACAACAGGTTCTTAATAGCAATAGCAATAGCGCTCAGACTTATATACCTCTTCACAGTGCTTTACAGCCCTCTCTAAGCGGTTTACAGAGTCAGCCTTTCGCCCCCAACAATCTGGGTCCTCATTTTACTCGCCTCGGAAGGACAGAAAGCCGAGTCGACCTTGAGCCTGGTGAGATTCGAACTGCCAAATTGCAGGCAACCAGCAGTCAGCAGAAGGAGCCCTGCAGTACTGCACTCTAACCACTGCACCACCACGGTTCATTAAGAAACCGTTAGCGGCAGACCCCTGGTCACATATCAGTGGCAGAAGTGCAGGTATGAATACAGGTAGTCCTCATTTTATGACCACAATAGGGATCAAAAAATTTGAGATTGTTAAGTGAGATGCCACATGAGTGGAATTGGTCACTTTCCCTGCTAGCTTCCCCATTGACTTTGCTTGTCAGAAGCTGGCTGGGAACGTCACAAATTATGATCACGTGACACCCCCACCCACCCCAGGATGCCGCAATCATCATAAATACGAGGGCTATCCACAAAATAGATTTCGTTTTCGTCTGTAGCAAGAAGGGGCGGAGCTAGCGCGGCCATCTTTGGTCTGTGCGTCCGCCGCTCAGTCTGCATCTAGTCGTGCTAGTGGGAGGTTCGTATCGTTGCCCGTTATTTCACAGCAAACGTTTGAAATGTGTGCTGCAATTGAAAATCCCGCGAGTTATGAGGTGCGATCAGTGATAAGGTTTTTGTTGGCAAAAAAACCATTAACCGATTGAAATTTTTCAGCAACTGTGTGAAGTGTACGGGGACAATATCATCACTGAAGGTGGAGTGCGCCAATGGTGCATTGTTTAAAGATGGCCGAACTACGGCACTCGAGAAGTCCTGAATGCTTTCAAGTGGGAGATTTTTCCTCATCCGCCCTACAGCCCCGATCTTGCACCAAGCGACTACCACTTGTTTCCGAGGATGAAGACCTGGCTTGGAACACAGCGCTTTGATGACGACGCGGAACTGCGGTTGGATGTGACTGACTGGCTCAAATCTCAGGCTGCTGAATTTTATGACAATGGAATTACAAAGCTTCTTCACCGCTATGATAAGTGCCTCAATTTGTTCGGTGAATATGTTGAAAAGTAGTATTTAATTGTCACTTTCAAGTGTATATAATAAAAAAAAATTCCTACACTTTGTTTTTTTTCTATTGCAAAACATAATCTATTTTGTGGATAACCATGCTGCTAGCTAAGGTTGCAACTTTATGATTGCTGCAACAGTCATAAGTGCAAGTAAGGCACTTTTTTCTGGTTGTTAAACGAATGGTTGTAAGTCAAGGACTACCTGTACTAAAAAATGCATTTGCGGTCAGAGGAGCCATAAACAAAAAAGAATATCCATCCTACCTGAGCAATGAAGAGATAAATGCCACCAATTAAAATGACCACAGCTCCAAGAAGTCTTAATAAGTCCTTGATGGTCATTGTCGTTGGAACAAGAGGCTGTAAAGAGAGGAAGAGAGCAGGCTAAGGACAGAGACTTTGGGGTTGGGGAAATGGCAGAGCCTTCAGTTTGGTGTTCCTCAACTTTGGCAGCTTTAAGAGAGGTGGACTTCAGCTCCCAGAATCCCCCACCAGCATGCTTTAAGAGAGGTGGATCTCTACTCCCAGAATCCCCCAGCCAGAATGCTTTAATAGGGGTGGACTTCCACTCCCAGAATAGCCCAACCAGCCAGGGGAATTGAAGTCCACAAATCTTAAAGTTGCCAAGATTGGACACCCCTGGTCTAGATCTTCTATATTTCATTTCTCAGCTTTGTATCATTTACCAAGAGATGACACAAATGTTGAAATGCACAGAACCCAGGTCTTTCTCTCAAGGCTTCCCTCCTCTCTGGAGTAACCTCCCTCCCCAGGTACAGTCCTGTAGTCCACTGGGCATCTATCAGTAGTATGATTTATATTTTAGCATTTTATGTAAGAGATTATCATGAGATAAAGGTTTGGAGGTTTTGCTGAGATCCAGGTAAACTATGTCTACAGCCTTCCTTCTATCTACTAAATTAAGAATCCTACTAAAATTGTTGAAATTAGTCTCGTGTGATTTGCTTGCAACAATGCCACACTCCTGTGAATTGTAGCAGGGCTTTCACTCACATGATGTCAACTCATAAAACGTTTCTATGCCTGTTTTAGAGTTGCCATGCACAGAGGGAGGGGAGAGAAATTTAAAAGAGTAGTGAAGCAGTTTAAAACCGAAAGTGCATTCCATTCTTATCTTGCAAAGATTGTAACTAAGCTACCGGAATTTCCCAATTGGAGAACATGATTGATGACTCTTGGCTATGAAAGTGTGTAGAATAAGAATTATGACACACTCAGAGGGGTGCGGGGAAACCAGGGTCAAAGGTGACAGTGAATTATGTGCCTCGGAATCGGCTTTATGCAGGTCATGTCGACATGTTCACTCCTAATAAATCCTTTGACGTTTTTGAAGCTTGGCTCGAGGCTCATGATTTAATTAGGGGCAACTGCCGGAATCCTAACACATTATTTAAATAAAATACATCAATACAATTCCATCAGACTTTGGAAACGTATTCTTATTTTGGATTGATACTGCTATTAGTTTGCTTAAATTTTTTATCCTTTTGTCTTGGAGTTCAGTACAGGTAGTCCTAGACATACATCAGTTCATTTAGTGACTGTACAAAGTTACAACGGTTTTGTCTTATCACCATTTCACAGATGACTTTTGCAGCATCCTTATGAACACGTGAACAAAATTGATAAGCTTAGCAACTGACTCATATTTATTACCGTTGCTGTGTCCCAAGGTCCCTTGTGATTCCCTTTTGTGACCCTCTGACAGGCAAAGTCAATGAGGCAGCCAGATTCACTTACTAACTTATCAACTGCAGTGATTCCCTTAACAACTATGGCAAGAAAAGTCATAAACTGGGTCAAAACTCACTTAACAGAATACATTTTGGGCTCAATTGTGGTTGTAAGTCGAGGACTACCTGTAGTATTCTCCTTTTTTGAGAGAGAGAGAGAGAGAGAGTTCGGTTGGGCTTACAGAAAGAGACTAACTCAAATTCACCTCCATTACCCAAAAGCATCCATTTGTTTAAAAATAGTTACCTCACCCTTTAGAGGCCAGTAATAAGCAGTGCCTGTGTAGATGAACATGAAAATCAGGTGGAGGAATAAACTGAAGAAAAACCTTTTTCTTATGAAGGATTCCCACTTATGCTGAAGTAGCTTGTTCAAAGGCTCCAGGGCCACCATTTTGTACCGGTTCTGTAGAGAAAAAATGTCATAGAATTGTGGAGTTACTGGTGTCCAAATGGAGTCAGAGACACTGACACAAACTTGTCGTTTTATATAAATAAATGTATCTTACAACTATATATACAGCAAACAAGGCAGTCAGGTAAACAGGAAGCATCATGAGGTAAATTGACGCAGCAGGAGCATCGTGAGGTAATAGTGGTGAATATCTGTAGCTCGGGAGTAGGAGGAAGGTGAAAGTTCATTTTCTGAGCTTGTGGGTTGTTTCCGAATGTTTCATTACCAGGCTAGGTAACATCTTCAGCAGTTTAGGAGAACTCTAAACTCCGCTGAAAATGTTTCCTAGCCTGGTAATGAAACATTCGGAAACAACCCACAAGCTCGGAGAAAGAAACTTCATCTTCATCATGAGGTAAATCAACACAGCAGGAGCATCATGAGGTAAAAGTCTACACAGCAGGAGCATCATGTGTTAAATCAGGGGTATCAAACTCGTGACAACATTTTGTTATCATGTGGCATGTTGCAACTTTTTTCCCCTTTACTAAAATGGGGGGTGAACGTGGCCAGCACATGACGCGTCTGGCCCATGGGCCGCAAGTTTGACACTCCTGAGGTAAATAAACAGAGCAGGAGCATCATGTGGTAAATCAACACAGCAAGAGCCTCGTGAGGTAAAAATAAACACAGCAGGACCATCATGAGGTAAATCACAGAGCCAATAGGGAACACAGAAGAAAAAAGTTAGGGAGAATGGAAACATCCCCTCCACACCCAAAGCCACCAATCAAATTGCAGATTGCCTTATGCAGGACCAGGCTCCAAACAATCAGCCACAATTATGCATCCTGGCACACTGTACAACCCCACTGCTCCAGCCACTAAATTGTTAAATATCTTAACAGAGAAGGATGGGAGATTTAAAGCATGTATTCTCAGTCCCCACTAGATCAGGGGTCTCCAAAGTGGTCAAAATTGAACCTCAAGATGAAGTATTTGGAGACAACCCCCTCCCCCCCCACCACCATGTTGTGTTAGGTTGCTGAAGTATTTGGAGACACTGTCTAGATACAACCCTTGAAATTTCAGGCCAAACCAGTATGGCAAAATATTGAATTTATCTAAACACCCATATTTAGGAACTGGACAAAGATAACACTGTCCTTTAATCACACGGCAGTTTAAAGAAAATTAAAAGAATGGAATACTTTATTCATTTTTTAAAAAAAGATCCAGAACCAACTTTTTCAAAAAGGGTTTTGCAGGCAGGCAGGCAGGCAGGCAGGAAGGAAGGAAGGAAGGAAGGAGAAAAAGATGAAGGGGAAAAGAGAAGGAAGGAAAAAGAGGAAGGAAGGTGAAAAAGAGGAATGGGAAAAAGGAAGGAAAGAGAAAAAGAGGAAGGAAGCAAGGAAAGAGAATAATAAAGGAAGGGAAGGAAGGAGGGAAGGAGGGAGGGAAGGAAGGAAGGAGAAAAAGAGAGAGGGAGGAAAGAGGAAGGAAGAAGAGGAAAAGAAGAAGGGGAAAGAGGAGATCTTGAGAAGAACCATTCTTGATTGGACCCACTCACTGGAGTGTTGCTGCTGTAGGCCAGGATCTCTAGCACTGAGTTCTCCTCACAGCTGTCGACAGAGGTCAGATCGTAGAGGGAGATGTGGATCGGACCATAGGTCCATTCGGTGAACTTGCGTGAAAGGTGTTGGAACTTGGGGTCCTTCATCTCTCGGTGGAGAATGTGCTTAAGGATCTGGGGAGACCAAAACAGTTGAGTCAATGACAAGAATATCTCTAGAGGTCAAGTCAACATGATCTCCATATTCAGCCATCATCTTGGACTTTTAGACGTTCTTGAAGATCACCTCTGATAACTTAGCTACATAATCAAGAAAACTTCTCCTCAAACATTACTCTCTTTGGACTTTTGTCCTCTTGCACCTAACTATGTCCATCATCTTTTTTCTCTATTTTGTCTCCAACATCAAGAAGATATGAGAAGAATCCACAATGAAGTCAAGGGGACACCTCACTAACACCACAATAAAGACATACAAATTACAGTGGAACCTCAGGTCACGAACGCTCCTGTTTGCAACTAAATTGAGTTCCGACCAAAAAAATCCACCCGATGAATCGGGTCACGATTCAAAAATCAGGTGGTGAACAAACCTGGCTGTGGCAGATTCCCTTGCCATGTCAATTTCCCTTTCCATGCATGCGCAGTCTGTCCTCCCATGTGCAGTCGGTCGTGCTTCTGGTCACAACCAAATTGCTCTCTGACCAAGGACCCTTCATTTCAACCCTGAGCTATGAATATTCTCTGTTATTGGTACTTCAAATGGTTCCTAAGCAAATGGTTGTAAGTCGAGGGCTATGTATCTGGTGAGGAGGAAGATTACCTCAACTTTCCCAGTCTTGGCGGCCAGCTTCAAAGGAGTCAGCTGTTTCCGGTTGACAATCTCTTCCAACTTGGAGGCAGGGTCCATCTCGGCCCCTTTCATCAGGATCATGTCATACATGTTGACCACGAGCTCAGTGTTCTTCTCCGTGTCATTGGCCACCATCACCAGCGCATGGAGGACGGTGTTACCCATGGAATCCTGTTCGGTCAGCTTGGCCTTGTTGTGACGGTTATCCAGGAGGTACATGACCACATCTGGCTGGTTGGTACAAGCGGCCAAGGAGAGAGGAAGTTCACCTGGAAGAGAGAGGACGATTGGCCAAGGTTGCATTGACCATCTAGGTCAGAGGTGTCCAACCTTGGCCACTTGAAGACCTGTGGACTTCAACTCCCAGAATTCCCCAGCCAGCCAGTCTTCAAGTTGAAATCCACAGGCTTTAAGTCTTGTGGACTTCAACTTCCAGAATTCCCCAGCCAGCAGGTCTTCAAGTGGTCAAGGTTGAAGTCCACAGGTCTTTAAGTCACCCATGTTGGCTGGGGAATTCTGGGACTTAGAGTCCACCCAGCTTAAAATTGCCAAGGTTGAAAGACAGTGGAATAATGGCTACAAGTAGCCCTTGATTTACAAGCACAATCAAGCTCAAAATTTCTGTTGCTAAGCAAGGCAGTTGTTAAGTAAATCTTTCCCCATTTTGCTATGACTTTTTCCACTGTTGTTAAGTGAATCACTGCAGTTGTTTAGTTAGGAACATGATCAGTAAGTGAATCAGCCTTGCCCATTTACTTTGCTTGCCAGAAGATCACAAAAATGAATTACGTGGCCACTCATTGCAACTGTCATAAATAGGAGCCAGTTGCCAAGCATTTGAATTTTGATCACGGGATGCTACATGGTCATAAGTGTAAAAAATGGTCATAAGTTTCTGTTTTCAGTGCCGTTGTAGCTTTGAATAGTCACTTAATCGAACGATTGTAAGTCGAGGACTACTTGAAAATCAGCCAAAATTTCCCCCCTCCCACCCCTATTTTGGCTCTAAGGAAAACACCTTACCCAATTTTACCCATTCTCAGAAATTCAAAACTTTTCAAATTAAAATGGTATCTTGATACTCATTGTTAATTGATTCTGGGAGCTGCGATGAGTACCAAAAACGATGAGTATCAAGAAGAAGAAGAAGGCAACAAACAATTTTTCCTCTTAAGGAATTGTTATGACTCCCCTTCAAAATTCCAATGAACAAAACAGAAAGCAGCCGTTTCACAATTAAATCAAACGGAAAGAAGTCTTACAAGATAACGGCTGGCAGAAACCACAGCATAAATCTTTACTCTGTCCGGCAAACCAGTCCTGGCAATAAATCTCCAGTCTCAGAGCATCTTGCTGTAACGTCCTCACTCAAATAGTCACTTTGTTCCTGGCAAAATGTACCAGCCCAGCTGTGTCCTTTTATACTCATTGAGGCAACGTGCTAATTTACTGACTCGCTCTCCTCATTCGCTCCAGCTGATTTTGCCTTTTCAACCGTCTTCTGTTCCTTACATTTAACCACAAATTTTCCAAGTTCTCATCTCCACTAGAAGACTCTCTCAAAACTTCCCTGTCAGCCATTCCCGGCTGTTGATCAGATAAGGAACCAGAGGAGGTCAAAGGTCCTGACAATTCTAATACATCAGGTCTGTCGTCCTTTGTCACGTCCATCTCCTCATCCTGGTTACCAGTCCAATCACTGAGCCATGCCGGCTCATATTTTTCTGCCATGACCTCCTCACTTGAACTCATATCAGTCACAGGAGCTGAATCCAAGCCCGGAGCCACAACAGGAATAATATAGCGAAGAGGAAGTAGTAAAAGGATGTATGATAGCATGGACAAAAGAATTTGGACATAACATAGGACTAGAAGACTGGGAAAAAAATTATTGAGTAAGAATTATACAATACATTAACAAGATCTGCAGCTTACAAGGAGAATCTTTATAAGATGTTTTACCATTGGCATTTTGCACCAATGAGATTGGCAAAAATGTATCCCAATATGAATCCAAGATGTTGGAAATGGAAACAGAGCCTGGGTACCTTCTTCCATATATGGTGGCTATGCCCGGAAGCCCAAAAACACTGGGTCAAAATACGGAGGTGGTTGCAAGAAATAGTGAAATGTCAGATCGAGTTCAAACCTTTTAGGAATAATTAAGGGGAAATGTAGTTTAAAAAAACCAAATATGTGATATTACACACATAATAGCGGCGAGGATTACATTCGCACAATGTTGGAAGCGAGATGGTGTGCCACCGGAGGAATTAGTAATCCAAAAGACATTAGAATGTGCTGAAATGGACAAACTCACTCTAGAGCTAAATGGTGAAGAAGAGCCAGAATATTATGAGGTATGGGACAATTGGTATGAATGGTTGAATAGTAGGAGTAAGAATAATGGAGATAAGAAAAATGTTTATAAATGAATATAAATGTATGGAGATTTGTATATGTAACAATGATGCCACAGTATTGTTAAAGATGAGAATGAGATATGTAAACGTGAAAAAGCATAATAAAAATAAATAAATACTTTTTCTAAAAAAGGAATAATGTAGTGAGTTACAATGCAACCGACAGTGACACATTCTAGCTTTTCAATTGGGTACCAAACAACGAGTACAAATTTCGTGTTAAAATGAGTTAAAAACTTCACTTGGCCCTCAAAACCACCGTGGGCACCCACTTGTATCTCTGTGGAATGAAACCTGAGTTTTGTTCTGCTGCCATACCGAAATAAAAGTACGCCCCTTTGCGGTGCGGCTGGAAGAAATGACCAGAAGCCTTGACGTGGACATCAGCCTTGTTCTCTACCAGGATCTTCACAAGATCTAAGTTCCTCTTCTCGATGGCAATGTGGAGGGCTGTGTGGCCTGCACAGGTGGTGAAAAATGGCACCGGAGAAAGATGGAAAGGTTAACAGGGGTGTCTGAAGATTGAGATCAAAAAAGTCAAGATGGCAGCCTCCATAGGGCCATGAGGAAAAACCAAGATGATGAAGAAGTATCAAGAGGAAGAAGAAGAACCAAGAGGAAGAGGAAGGAGGAGGAGACGGCAAGAAGGAAGGAAGGAAGGAAGGAAGGAAGGAAGGAAGGAAGGAAGGAAGGAAGGAAGGAAGGAATTGTCCTCTTAAGGTCCTCTCTGGTGATAGTGGCCATCTTGACTTTTGTGATCACATCCCTGGCTCTCTATTCAGAAACACACACAAATTTGCTATGTTAACATGGGTGGCCATTGAAGCTGATTAAATACATAAACATTCCCCAAGTTTGTTGGCTAAAATATGGAATTTTCCTAAGATCTTGCAAGAGGAGAAGAAGGAGGAGGAAAGTAAGAGAGGAGAAGGAGAAGGAGAAGGAGAAGGAGAAGGAGAAGGAGAAGGAGAAG